ACAAGACCATTGTCGAAGTGCTTCTTGAAGGTATAAAACATATTACGAGAGACACCGAGAAGATTGTAGTATGCCTTGACATACATTGAACTTTTCAACTGTACAGGACAAGCACGTTTCTGTCCATCCTCATTCATTGTGAACTCTTTAAGACTTTTCATTCACCATTCCTCTCGCTCTTTCGGACTCTTACTGTACAATCATTGTCTAACATCTTAGACTTCCTCTGGCAACACGTTGTAACACCAGTGAACCTTGCAATATGCCATGCCAGGTACCATGAGCATTTTTTTTCCAACAACATATCTTTCACTCTTTTATACTGTTTTTTCTTCCTAGCGTTCATATTAGCTATGCTATACAATCTCCTTTCCTCTGGCAGAGGTGAAAACAAAATTTATAGCATTGCTAAATTCTCTGCATCGCTTTTGCGATACGTGTCTGATGTAGACTGACTGTGAACAGGAATCGCATCCTGAGATTGCACACGCGTTGGACTCGCTCGTGGTGTAGACAGTTCCTCCGAAGAATAATCGGTGGCTACCAACTTCATACCATTGTAGCTAGGTTTCCATAACGACGCACTAGAAGAGGATTGTTGTCCAGATGAATAAGGAGTGCCCACCAACTTCTCACCCTTGTCATTAGAGGTTGTGAAATAAGCAGCCATCGACACGAGGCAGGTGTCCACTGAAGATGCGGGGTGCACCTCGTCAAAAACGTGAACAACGTTTCGAGAGACAAATGGGTCTTGACCTGCGGACATGTCGCTCCACCCCCGGGCAAATGGATGCAACCCCTGAAGCTCACACACAAAGTGCAACCTCTTTTTTTGGGGAATCCACTGTGAGATTGTTGGAAAGGCGAACTGTCCGAAAAGCTTGTCGGGATCAACTGGAGGACTTCCAAATGGGAATGCAAGTCGATGACTTGTTTAGTTTCCATAGCCTAGTTGATGCGTTTATTCCGGAAACCTTCCTTTGTGCCCTCATGTAACTCTCGGTTTCGTGGACGATGCGACCGTTAGAAAAATTGGATGACTTCGACAAAAAGCATTGAAGGGGTAATTCGGAGAAGTGTCCACACCCTGCAAAGGGAGGAGAAAATTACTAGTAGCCAATCTTCGCCAAAACGAAAGGTTGTGCATCTTCGGCTTTGTAGTATTGGACAAGCCAAGCGTCCCACAGTCACCATTGTCTTCGAGCGTCTCACACCCTATCCGTCACATAGAAGGGTGCACATAGGGAATTCATCATTAGATATTTGTGGACTGGCAGGGAGAAACCGGTTTCTGCCATCGATCCATGGACAACCACGTAGTCAGTGTCATCGCCCCGAACCATCCATTAACGTCATTCATCCATCGACAAGCACATCAACCTCAAACTTAGAGGGGTCTACTTAGGGAATTCATTATTCGATATTTATGGTCTGGCAGGAAGAAACCCAGAGGCGCGGTGATAGGAAAGGGTGTCTCACGACAGGTAATGAATTGGTGTTTAAAATACTGCATCCGACGATTTACTTTTCCTTCATGTAGTGGAAATTTCCAAGTGCGAAGAGATCCGGACTTGTGAGAACAGGGAATCCTCCAACAACGCAGTTGCGGGAATGTTGGGTGAATCCGACTTCTTGAAATTTCGGATCGCATCAAACTTCAACTCTTGTCACTGTAAGACTATTTGTGGCCGAAATATAACAAACGTGCCTCTTGGACCCTACATCAAACCCCCTAAGCCCCTGATGCGAGATTTTATTAAGGCGAGCTCGTGTGTTGGCGATCCGAACTTCTGTAGTTGCCAAAAGAGGAACGCGCGGATTTGCAGGCGGGTGCAATGAATGCTCTCACTGACCACGATCCTCAAAGTGCGCGAGGATCCGAACTTGTCAGAGATCGGAGTCCCATGACAACATTGATTTTACTGGCGGAAGGTCATCTAAACCTTTTTTGCATCAACTCTTGCAACGATAATTTGGTCCGCTGCAATAGTCGACAATGACAGTCTCTGAGCTCCGTGTGCCGACAAACCGTACTAGGGCTTAAGGGGGGTTGTTGCGGGGTCCCAGAGGTCTGTTTATTCCTTTTTCGTCTATCTAACATTGTCGAAAAAGCAGGCGCGCATTGTACACGTGCAAATGTTGTTCTAATAGTGAACGCTGCAAAGTACTAGGCGGTTTGAACAAACGATGTAACGGATCGAGATCCTCAAAGCTCGTCGGGGACCAAATTCGTGAGAGACAGGTTTACCGCGACTAAAGTGATCGAACCGTCAGACGTGCAACTTTTTCACTACAAGACTATTCATGGTTGAACTAAAAAGGACATGGCTATTGGACCCCTCGTCAACCCCCATAAGCCCCCGATGCGGTTTCTCAAGAAGCCGAGCTCGTGTGCTGCAGTGTAAATACTGAAAAAGGAAGGCGTAGATTTGCGGGCGGATGAAAAGAATGATATGACAGAGCGCGATCGTCAAAGTGCGCCGTGATCCGAATTTACCGGAGATAGGATTTTCTCGACTGCATCGATTTGTAGTCTTTAGTATTTTGCTTGGATGGTTGTATTGTATTTAGCATAGTATGAATTGCATACGTGAATAATGTAAGCGCAAATGTTTGGGAATTGTGGATGGCACAATCTTGCAGGCATTTTCAACAGACAATATGACAGAGCTCGACCCTCAAAGTTCGTCGGGGTCCCTTATCGTCAGAGACGAGATTCGCGCGACTACATTGATTGACTGTCGAACTCGAACATTTTCACTTCAAGGATATGTTCGAAATAAACAAAACATGCCTTTTGGATCCCTCACCAACCCTCCTAAACTCCCAATGCGGTTTGGCAATTAGGTTTTCTCGTCTACGGGCAACGCTAACTTCTATGTATGAAATATGGAAAGACGAATGCAGAGATTTGCAGGCAGGTACAAGGAAGGATATGACCAAGCGTGATCCCCGAAGTCCGTGGGATCCGAAGTTGGAAGAATAGGGGTTCCCCCAACAGCAACGACGAGGCACGGTAAAGGTGCCCAATGCCAAACGCTGAGGACCTTTTGTGTAGAGTAGTTGCCACAATTAATTAATTGGCGCTCACACAAGTGCGTTCAACGGTTGACCTTTCTTGCATGCAGTGAAAATTTCCAAGCTCGACGGAATATGAGAGAATAGGGAATCCCCCAACAGCGCAACAACGGGGCTGTTGGGCGAATCCTTCTTCTTGGAAGTCCGGATCTCGATGAACTTTAACTTTTGAGCTCCACATAAGAGTGTGTGTGGCAGAAATATAAAGAACATGTGTCTTTGGCCTCACAATAACCCGCCTAATCCCCCGACGCGACATTTCAATAACGCAAGTTCGTGTGATCGCAATGCTAACTTCTGCAGTGAAATTGCGGGAAGAGGAAGGCGTGGATTTGCAGGTGGGTGCAATGAAGGAACAAACGGAGCACGTTCCTGAAAGTGTCGGGATCCGCACTTGTCATAGACCGAATTCGTGAGAGACAGGTTTCCGGCGACTGCAGTGACTGGATTGTCGGACTTTCACCTTTTTCAATGCAAAGCTATGCATGGTAGAACTAAAAAGAACATGGCTCTTGGACCCCTCAGCAACCCCCATAAACCCCCAATGAGGTTATTCGACAAGCCAAGCTCATGTGCTGGCAATGCAAACTTCTGCAGTCTAAATGACGAAATAGGAAGCCGCAAATTTGCAGGCGGGTGAAACGAATCAGGTCAGACAGAGTGCGATCCTCAAAGTGCGTCGGGATCTGAACTTGCCAGAGATCGGATTCCCGCGACTGCATTGATGTTACTAGCGGAAGGTTATCTAAACCTTGGTTGTGTCGACTCTCGAGATAACAAACTCCGTCCGCTGCCGTCGTTGAGAGTTGCAGCCTACGAGCTCCTCGTACCGACAAACCATACTGGGGGCTAAGGGGGTTGTTGCGGGGTCCAAGAGGCCTTTATTTTTTTCCCCGTCTATCCAACATTGTCGAAAAAGCAGGCGAACACAGTGCAAGTGCAAATGCGGTGCTAATAGCGAACGACGCAAAGTCCCAGCCGGTTTGAAGCGATGATGTGACGGAGCCAGACCCTCAAAGTTCGTTGAGGACAAAATTTGTGATAGACATGTTTCCCGCATATGTGGTGATTGGACTGTCCGACTTGTACCTTTTTCACTACAAGGCCACGCATGGTAGATCTAAAAAGAACATGGCTCTTGAACACCTCCTCAACCCTCATAGGACCTCAACGGGGTTTTTCAACAAGGGGAGCTCGTGTGCTAGGAATGTCAACTTATGTAGTTTAAATGCCAAAAGATCAAGGCGCATAATTGCAGGCGGATGCAACAAATGATTTGACAGAGCGCGATCCCCAAAGTGCACTTGGATCCGATCTTGCCAAATATAAGATTTCCTCGACTGCACTGATTTGCAATCTCTTCTAATTTGCTTGGATCGTGTTTTTACTGCATTTAACATAGTCGGAAACGCAGGTGCGCAGAACGAAATTGCAAATGTTTGCGAACCGCTGATGGCGCAATCTTGCAGGCGGGTTGAACAAAAGATCTGAAAGAGCTCAATCCTCAAAGTTCATCGGGGTCTTCTTTCATCATAGACGAGATTCCCGCGACCACATTGGTTGAATGTCGAGCATGATTGTTTATCACTGTAAGTTTATGATTGAAATAAACCAAACATGCCTCTTGGACCCCTCACCGGCGTTGCCACGCAGGGATCCCCGGGGCCCAAGCCGGGGTAGGGGTTTCACCCCCGGACCCGACCCCCGCCCCCGCCAAAACACCCCCGCCCTGCCCCAACCCCGCCACCCTGTCTCTTATACACATCTAGATGTGTATAAGAGACAGGCCCTGACCCCGCCCCGGCCCCCGACCCCGCCGACTATTGGCCCCACTCACGGCCCTGCACCCACGGCTACCCCCGTCCCACCATTTGTGGGTGTGGCCCAAGGGGGGGTCTGGGGTGGGGCACAAAACCCCATTCCTGGGGTTTAGCCCACGGGGTGTCCGTTGCTCACCCCAAACAAGGGAGTCGCGAGTCTAGGGAAACTGATAGCCATTGCGTAGGGAGTCGAGATTCCGACATGCGAGACGAGGTCGCCCTGAAGTCTTATCAAGTGCGAGTAGATTCACACTTGTCTGCGAGGACTTCGTTTCCTGATGTCGAGGAGAGTCCGTCCCACCGTACGCAGCCGACGTCTCCTGTGCACAACACCTTGCTCCTGCCCCTCTTGGAAGAGGGCGAACATCTTCAGCATACGACAGCATCTCCTGAGCGGCAAAACCATTCCTTGGCAGGAACTGCCTCTTCGTTTTGCCTGGAGGCCGGAACGCCTGCATTGAGAAGGAGCGAAAGTGCAACCGTCAGTTGCCTCATCTCCGGCGAGCGCCGCAAACTCCAAATAGATTCGGAATTACTGACGTCGCCCTGCGGGCCTTCCACAAGCAGTGCTCGCCGCAAAGTCCAAATAGATTCAGAGTTACTGACGTCGCCCTGCGGGCTTTCCGCCAACAGTGCTCCTCACGCTACAGTTCTGCGGGGACAAGAAAATGTGAGGTCCAACCCCTCGCATCTTCAGTTGGGTACAGTGTTCCCCTGCTCACCGCCGTTCTCATGTGTTGAGACTCGAGACTGGCAGTCTCGCAAAGTGCTAGAGGGGCCCGCTGCAGGAGTGTTGGAGACCGGGTGTAGCAAGTATGAACGTCATGCTTCGGAGGGTGTATCCGTCGACTTTGAGAGCAAGAGTACAGCAACTCCTGGGGAAGAGGAGCTCTCACCGGGAGCGCATGCTGTACAGCGGGAAGAGGAGACTCAACACTTGCAGTCTTGCAAAGTGTAAGAGACCGGGGCTAGCGAGTATGAACGTCATGCTTCGGAGGGTGCGTCCGTCGACTCTGAGAGCAAGAGTACAGCAGCTCGGGGGGAAGAGGAGCTCTCACAGGAAGCGCATGCTCTGCAGCGCGAAGAGGAGACTCAACACTCGCCGGCTTGCGAAGTGGTGAAGGGGCTCGATGCAGGAGTGTTGGAGACCGGGGCTAGTGAGCATGAACGTCAAGCTTCGGAGGGTGCGTCCGTCGATTCAGAGAGCAAGGGTACAGCAGCTCCGGGGGAAGAGGAACTCTCATAAGAAGCGCATGCTCTGCATCGGGAAGAGGAGACTAAACACTGGCCGACTCTCGAAGTGTTGAAGGGGCTCGACACAGGAGTGCTGGTGACCGGGACGTCCGAAGAGGTTCTGCACAGTCGGTCGGTTGTGGCGACAACGCAAGAGGGTGACGTTAAGGGAGGTCAGTGAACGTTTGTGGAAGGCAATGATCGTGGGGAGGAAGGACGTACGTGGACATTCGTTGAAGCTCGGCTTCTTGGCGATGAGGAAGGCGAAGAAGAACCCGTAGTGGAAGCTCGGGTTCATGGCGATGAGAAAGGTGAAGAACCGGTGGTGGAAGGCGGTGAGGTGGCGGTCGGCATCCAGATGGATCCAGAGCGGAAAGATCATGATTCTCCGTCCACCCGTTGCAGTGAAAAACAAGGTGATCGAGCGTCTGTCCTCAGTACCGGTCGGGAAATGGTACTTCATGAAGCCATCGAGTTGGGTAGCGACTCAGCTGCCACCGAGCTGGTTAGCGACTCGACTGTGGCCGAGGTGCAGAACATCGAATCCTCCATGGACGTTGGCACAATGGCGCGACAGGATTGCGATTTCCCTCAAAGGACTCCCGAGCACGGTAAGATTTGTGAATAGTAGCACTCGCATATCTGTCACTATTCAGCTCTGTGTTCATCCAAATTGATGTGATGGGTTCATGTAGCTATTACCACTTGTTTTAAAAAAGTTTGTGGGTTGTGGGTTGTTTTCTATGTTTTACAGGTGTGAGGTTGTAAATGTCCCTGCCCATGAAACCTTCAAAAGCCATGCGCGGGAAATGTTTTTCAGGGAGGTCATTGGCCGCTTTACTGAAGAAGTCGTCGTCAAGTGTAGGGTTGTTTAAAAGGGTCCAGATGCCTCGCCTTTCCGAGAGAGTTGTCAGGGTTCTGAAAGCTTGTGGAATAGATAAGGAGGAAGCTTTGCAGAGACATGTGGCTGCGTTGAAAGCGTTACTGCTTTGTCTGATGGGTCTGATGACGATGTCAAACGGGGTATCGTAAAAGACCCGTATCCTAAGTACATCGCCAAGGACACATTCAACAGTCGGGGATATAACTTTCCTAGAAAAATGACACACAGTTCTTAATCAATGCGCCTCGGTAATATTGGTCGCTCCTCACACTTGTTCATGGGTGTTTGTGCAGCTGGGGCTACATTATCTTTTCACGTTTCCTTGCCTACTGAGGAGCTTAGCGCTATAGACTTGAGAATGTTGCAGGACGTCTGTGGAGATTTCAGCAACGGCCACGAGGTGGTTTCCTCGATTCGCAAAGGGGCCAGTTGTATTCTGTTGAGCAGAAAAAATCTTCAAACTCTTGTCCANTGTGTGAGAGAGAGAGAGAGAGAGAGAGAGAGAGAGAGAGAGAGAGAGAGAGAGAGAGAGAGAGAGAGAGAGAGAGATTAGTCAGTGCCCATTCTAGCGCTATGTGGCGCAACTGACACAGGTGTCGTCTTGTCGACGATCTGGCGGAGTGGAAACGTGCGAGAGTTGGAGCCCACGCCATAAAAGGAACTCGCAAATGAGGATGTTGGATGAAGACGAGGTCACAAAAGATGCCGTGTTGAGACCCAACAGCCTCTCCGGTCCACTTTGGAGCTCACCTTGTACATATTGCTCTTTGTGAACGACGCTGGCAAAACACGAGGTAGCGTTGAACGACAACGATGGCATAGCGGAGCTGGTCGGGTGGAAGAAACTGCTCATGGATTGGCATTGCCGTTTTGCATCGCCAGCCACCCAGAGGCTGACCCTACAGGCATGATGCAGTTGTCCCACACAGTGATTACAACAGCTGCACGGCGAAGTCGAAACCTAGTCGTCTGATGTGGGAATTGGGTGCCCTGTGAGGCATCGCGGTGGGGATAGTCGTCGACCGGGCCTATACGGTTTAACCTCGCGCACGAAAACTGGCTAGTGGATTACGCAGATCCGACGAGTCGAAACCTGGTCGTCTGATGTGGGAATTGGGTGCCCTGTGAGGCATCGCGGTGGGGATAGTCGTCGACCGGGCCTATATGGTTTAACCTCGCGCACGAAAACTGGCTAGTGGATTACGCAGATCCGACGTCAGGAGGGGGCCCGCGTAATGGATCTCATCCATGAGCGGCCAAGGTCGCGGCCGCGACCCCTCGGCCATGGCTGCACGGTCGCATGGCCGCCAGTGGGGGGGGGACGTTCAGGGATTTTCCAAAGGGGATTGGGGTTGCGCAAACCCCGCCCTACCCCTTCACAGAAAAAAAAGTTAGAAAAAGACAATTTTCAGAACGGGGGGGTTTCGTGAAGAACATTGAAAAAAAACAAAACAAAAAAAACTAGGCGTTATTTTTTTCGTTTTTTTTCTTCCGTTGATTGATTGATTGATTGATTGATTGATTGATTGATTGATTGGTGGGGGAGGGGTCCCCCCCCCCCCCCC